AGCTCGCGGCTGGACCGGGAGGAGCTGTGCGGGAAGAGCGCGCCGTGCTTGCTGCGGCTGGAGGTGCTGGTGGAGCGTCCGCTGCGCGTCTTCCACGTGGAGCTGGAGGTCACGGACATCAACGACAATGCCCCCATCTTCCCCGCCGCCCGAAAAAACATCAGCATCGCAGAATCCTCGCTAGTGGGTTCCCGTGTCCCTCTGGAGGGCGCGTCTGATGCGGATATCGGAGCGAATGCTCAGCTCTCCTACACACTCAGCCCGAGCGAACATTTCAAAGTACAGGAAGAAAACAGTAACTTGCGTACTAAATCCTTGTTTCTGGTACTTACAAAGCCGCTGGACCGGGAGACGATGGCCGTTCACCGGTTGTTGCTGACGGCGAGTGACGGGGGCCGGCCGTCTCTGACAGGCACTGTGGAGCTGGTGATCTCGGTGCTGGATGCGAATGACAACGCGCCCCAGTTTAACCAGTCAGTGTATAACGTACATCTACCCGAGGACGCCATAGAAGGGATTCTGGTGACGCGGGTGAAAGCCACAGATGCGGACGATGGAAGTAATAGCGATGTAAAATATGAAATCGATACTGTAGTTCCTCCCCCTGCCGAAGATGTTTTCAGCGTCGATGCAAATAGTGGCGAGATCAGACTGATGGGAGCCCTGGACTTTGAAGCAGTTACTTTATACGAACTAAATGTTAAGGCGACAGATCAGGGGACGCCCCCACTGTCGGGTCACTGCAAGCTGGTGGTGGAGGTGGTGGACGTGAACGACAACGCTCCGGAGGTGTTGGTGACGTCGCTGTCGGTGCCGGTGCCCGAGGACGCGTCGCTGGGGACGGTGGTGGCTGTGCTGAGCGTGTCGGACCGGGACTCGGGGGCGAACGGTCGTGTGCGGTGCTGGGTGTGGCCATCGGGTCCGTTCGGTCTGGAGGCGACGTTCGCGGGGTCGTACTCGCTGGTGCTGCGGGAGGCGCTGGACCGGGAGCGGGTGTCGGAGTACGAGGTGGAGGTGCGTGCGGAGGACGGCGGGTCGCCGTCGCTGCGCGGCAGGCTCGGGGTGCGGGTGCCGGTGTCGGACGTGAACGACAACGCGCCGGCGTTCGCGCAGGCGGTGTACACGGTGCTGGCGCGGGAGAACAA